CTACCATATCCGCGGTAAAAACGGTAAAAATCGAACATTTTCTTTTTCTACCGTTTCCCCGTGGGGGGCACCCCTTTTTCGTCTACCATATTCGCGGTAAAAACGGTAAAAATCGAACATTTTCTTTTTTACCGTTTCCCCCGGGGGGGGGCACCCCTTTTTTTTCTAGCATATCCGCGGTAAAAACGGTAAACATCAAACATGTTATGGTTTTATCGTGTTTACCGGGGGGCGCTCCTTTTTCTTCTACCATATCCAGGGTAAAAACGGCAAAAATCGATTCTTTTTTACCGTTTTTACCGGGCGCTTCCTTTTTCAATACCATATCCGCGATCAAAACGGTAAAATTAGTTGTTGTTCTTTTTGCACCGTTTTGATCGAGGGGGGCAAACGGGTCTATGTTTTTTTTTTTTCAGTTTTTAACGGAGGGTCACCGCTGTTTCTTCTGCCATATCCGCGGTAGGTAAAATCGAAAGTTTTCGATCCAAGTGATGTAGGCTTTCATTGCCCTGCAAAAGTTAAACGTCATGAAATTTTGATCCATCACCAAACTCCTCTTGTCGAAAAGGGCACACGCTCCTATATGATAGGAGGAGTGAACCCCACCTGGTTATAGGAAGATACCCGGGCTGTAACATTAAACCTTTTTGTTGACAGAGGCCTTCTAGCTTGCGACCTGGTCCGGAGGCATTCTCGCGATAAAAAAACGGTCCAAAGTGAAAATTACTACTTTTGTTGTTTACCTTTTTTTTTATGAAGAGTCGCTTGCTCTTTTTGCTTCTACCATATCGTCAAAAATCAAAGTTGTGTTATTCTCCGCTTTTGTAGGCGGACTTGTCCTTTTCTTTTCTACCATCTCCGTGGCAAAAACGGTAAACATATTTGTTTTTAATCTTTGTTACTGGGGGGCGCTCCATGTATAAATTTCATATCCGCGGTAAACACGGTAAAAATAAATAAATAAAATTTACCGTTTTTACCGGGGGGGGCGCCCCTTTGTCTCCACAATATCCGCGGTAAAAACGGTAAAAATCGTTTTGTGTTCTTTTTTCCGTTTTTACCGGGGGGGGCGCCCCTTTTTCTTCTACCATATCCGCGGTAAAAACGATAAAAGTCGAATTTTGTTTTTACCGTTTTTACCGGGGGGGCGCTCCTTTTTTTTCTACCATATCCGGGGTAAAAACGGTAAAAATCGATGTTTTTTAAAACCTTTTTTCGTGCGGGGTCGCGAAAGGATACCCCTTAGCAAAACAACGCTCGCGAACCAGCTCAGTAGGCTACTAGGCTATTTGCTCCTAGTAGCGATGCCCTTTGTTACTAGTAGCGTGCTTGCTCCTAGTAGTACGGCGAGGAGCTACTATATAGTAGCTATTTGCCTATTTGCTCCTCACTAGCAGCGATGCCTTTGCTCCTAGTAGAAAGGCCAGGAGCTACCAGTATCTATTTGCTCCTAGTAGCGATGCTCTTTGTTACTAGTAGCGATGCCTTTGCTCCTAGTAACTTCCATGCAACACCACCAGGCTTGGAGACTTGCTCATGTGTTGGTCCAGCTTCACTTATTGCGCTCGACGAAGAGCGAAGGTCGAGACTCTGGATGACCAGGCGAGGGCACACGAGTTTGGCACTTTGAGTTGCTGACAAGAACTTTCGATCAAGTTGTTTGCTCTAAGAGCAACTTGTGAAGAATTTTTTCTGCATCAAACTGCCAGGATGGTCAGATCTTTCTGCGGATTTGGCATCCTCGAACTCATCTTGAACTCCGACCCTCTTGGCACCAGGATTGCAAGAACTGGAATCAATGCCACTTATCTCTCTTGTCATTATTGGAAGAGTCATACTGATTTCAGCTTGCCCTGACTTTTCGAGTTTTGTCTAGGAGGATGGTCCAATTCCTTTGGAGCGTTTACAACAGGAGAAGCTGACGCGAAACCCATCGACTCGAGCGCCGCGTCGGACGCGAGCAGACGCGACCCGTCCGAAGGTGACCCGTGGAGTGAAGCGCGGTCAGGAGCTGGGACTGCAGGAGCCCCTCCGCGGCAAGACCGGAGCCTCCGGAGCCTCCGGGGTCACTGTGACTTGAGGACTTCCAGGTCCATGTCCAAAAAGAATGTCCACGTTAGCAAGAACCATCAAGAAACAATTAATTAAGTAGTTAAGTCCAAGACGCAAGGGTCTTGAACATCTTTTCATGGAATAGTATCGTCCGCACATCCATGTCCAAAGATGACCGACGGGATCTGCGAAGGAAAAAAGGCACGCGCGCAGAATTCAGCGATTATCTCGAACATTCTCTTGGCGGCTAAGGTTGGTCCTTCTTGGAAATATGGAAGTGCCACACCTCGTGAGCTGGACACCTTCAGGACTAGCTTAAAAGCTGCTCAAAAGTGAAACCAACTTGCAAGCTTAAGATTGACATCAAAAGTAAAAGCAACAGAAAGACAAAAACAAACATCCAAGTTGGCCTTCGGCCTGGTTGGCATGTGTTTGAAGGCCATTGCTGGAAAGAGCTGGTCAACATGCCCTTTTAGCTGCATCGCCGAAATCGGCGCGATAAAATACAAATTAATAATGTTATATTTTAATAATCGAATCGGAAGAATTCATTAATTTTATTTTATTGTTTTAATAATATAGATCAATATAATAATGAATTTTTAATATTAATATGTAATAAATATAAAAAATAATTTAAAGGAATTATATTATTAATAATATTTTAACTATATTAATAAAATAGATATATATTAAAATATAATATTTAATAATTTTATTGATATATATAAAATATTTATTGATATATATTTATATATTTTTGATTTTGATTATTTATTATATATATGATTTATTATATTAAATTTAAAAAAAAGGATGAAAATATTATTTATAATTATATATTATATGGTAATGAAATATGATGGAAATTGAAATTATATTATTTTTAGAATTTTTACAAAAGGAAAATAAATATATAATAATAATATTAAAAGAAAATAGATGATATTAAAATAAAATTAAAGGAATTAAACATATATTAAAAGGAAATAATAGGATATTAAAAGGAAATCGAAAGGAAATTAATATAAAAGGAAATCCAAAAGGAATATTAATAATATTTAAAAGGAAATATGTATAAAATGGAAATATATATAATTTGGTTATTGGATTATTTATAGATTTTATTTTTTTTTTAAATAGATATTAACAATAATATAAATATTTTATATAATTTCATTTTCTGTATTTCAAAGATTTATTGCGCTATCTAAAAATGACCCTAACAATTTTCTAAATAATATATTATTTATAAAATTAATATATCTTTTTGCATTTAATATATATATATATTCACGAAATATGATGAATATATTTCTGAATTTTAAATTCTAAACATTAAATTTATATATTTGAAAGAAAATATATTTTAGTAATTTCTTGGCAAAAGAATTAAATAATTGAAATATTTAATAAAGCAATTTGTAGTGATTACGATATTATATATATTATTTTTTATTTTAATTTATCTTGTTATATTTGTCCTTGATATTAATTTATTCTTAATTGTTTAAATAGAGCATTTTTTGGTAAAGATGCGAATTCGATTAATGTATTTTTTCGGGATATATTTGTTATATTGGGAGGAAGTATTGAATATTCGATTTGTTTTAGTGGCGAATAAATTGTTGGTGATTTCTTGTCGCGAGGTGGTTTTAGGTATTATATTGCATTTCGATTATTGAAAGGATATTTTTTCTTTAAGATATTGTTGATTCGCATTAAAGATTTGCGATATTTAGAAATTAGAATTTTACAATATTATTTAGTTTCTTATCGACATTAAAGTGGCGTAGGCGGCGCTTGCTTTGATTTATCCTAAGATTGTTTCGTCGTCGTTTGCGATTTTTTTTATATTTGAAAAAAAAAAAAAAATCCCGTCGCATAACGATCTTTGAAATTATTGAAGACGTGGAGATGCCTTCCATCACCGAGCCCGCGATCTTCGAAATGGCTTCGATCGCAATCCGAATGGACGTTAATGGATCTTTGCATTGAGGAGCCTTTTAATAAGCTTGCACATATCCTGGTTCACACCTTGTGAATTCAGCACGATTCTGTTGAATATACAGGTTGGCTGAGGGACAATATGGATGAAAGAGCCGCCTTGTAGCAAGCATCGAGGATCGTGGAATTATATTTTCTGCCATCCTATTGTCCAAATCTCATCAATGCATGACATAATCAATCATCTTAAAATAATATATATACATATGAATGCCCGCATATTTGTTTGCAGATAAACATTTTCTAGATTTGCGCATCAAGAATGATGTGGACATTGATTTTCAACGTTCCGAGGTTGGAATTCGCAAATTTGGCAGGAATAATGATTTTGATATTTATTGGAAGGCAAATCATATAATGAATTGGGTCTGTCATCGCGGCTTTGTCCCAGATTCAGGCCACTGCCAGGCATGCTTGCTAAGCGCAGGAAACATATGGATGTCGGACGACGATTGTGCGCCATGATCAAACAACATCCGGAGATGAAAAAGATTGCTAACTTTTTGATATTGATTCCTGATGATCAATTTGTTCGCTTTTGATATAGATCAATTGAACACAGAAATATCATTATTCGTAAGGATATGTTGCCCATTACGGGCCGATTTGACCATTGGCCCGGATAATTTTTATGTATTGATATAGAAAATATATTGATAAATTATGGAATATTGTATTTTGTGCATTTCCTTCATCGGTTTTTGGAAATATAATAAGATTGATTATTAGAATATTAAATAATATAAAGAATGCTATTTATATATTGTAAAGAATATTCGTTATTAATTTTAAATCATGATACAATCGGAGATTGAATTCATCTTCGAAAATCTTGAATATATTGAAAGGTTTAATTGAGATTAATATAATTTAGATATTCATATATAATCAATGATATTGTAAATCGAATGAATAGGAATTTTAAAAATATTTGTTAAATTTAATTATTCAAAATTTTTAAATGAATATAGATATGATTAAATCTATATATATATATATAATAAATTTTAAAAAATATATGTATATATCTTGATATAAATTATGTTTGTTATATTTTATTATAATGATCAATTTTCAATCGTTCATATTTAAATAATCTTAATATAATATTGTATATGTTTCATATTAATGAAAAGATATTCTTATATAAATCATATAGAATATCATTCTTTGTATATTAATTTTGCATTATGTATTTTTGATCAATGCTATGAATTATTATATATTATTCTTTATATATATACCTATGTTCTTAGGATTAATAATTCAATATTAATTTTATCTTTCCATATATTTAATATATTTAAAAATAATCTATGATATATTTATTTATTTCTGCAATGAAATATGGTCTATTCGACGATAAAATCTGGGAATAGATCATTTCATATGATGATTGGCAGATTGCATCGATATCTCTTGATATATTTCCAAATATTGAATCAATCATAAGATAATTGAATCCCCTCGTCCATCCCTCTAGAACTATATGACCACATGAAATCATTCGTTGCATATAATGCTCGATATTCCAATACCTGAAATCATTCAAAAATAATTCATTTCGACAATATCTCTCAGAGACAGATGTGCGGGAATGCTGCCATGGAGGTTCACCCGCATTTCTAGAATATAAATTTCTTATTTGGGTTGGTGTTTATTTATTTTGTAGAGGGCAATCAAATATAATTCCAAAGGTTATATATACGTCATAGTTCCCTCTAGATCCCATATAGGAGCTTCGTAATGCTCTTCCAGGTGGGACAACCATGAATGCATTATGCTATATTGGACTAAAAGCAGTGACAAGATCTGCCGAAAGGGTCCGGGCAACATTGCTTATGATATAATTTTCAGAAACATGATTCTCCGCCGCTATGAAAGTAGGGAGGAATATGGGATTGATTCGTCAACCAAATTTGGCAACAATAATGAGGACAGGATAATATATTATCAAATAAGAAGAGAGACAAATAAACAATAATATGAACAATATATAAATGGGATTTGCGAAGAAAACAACAAAGAGATTTAATGGATCTTTAGTGGATTAATCTGTTCAGAATTGGATGAGGACCTGGATTGCATAGGGACGGATAGTGAGATTCAAAACGATAAAAAGAAAAATTGTCATAGAATATGAATTTGATGTGTTGTCAACCACTATTGCAAATAGACGGATTAATTTCAATTAATTCATCGAACAAATGCGAACAAACAACGAAGAAAACCAATATGGAAGAACATAGAGGTGATTAAAGGAATGATTCAGTGATTTTGATTGAAAAGATGATAACATAAATTGGCAATCCCAATCAAGGCTCTTGCAAATAAAATAAAGGATCTATATTCGCAAACGGGAAAAGATATGTCACCATTCATTTGAGAAATTTAAGAATCTATCCTGCTATTAATTCTATCAGAGAAGATGCTTGATTTTACATGTATCATTTATCATTTACCAAAAGAGAGCGGCTATTCTGTTTCTGGGTGGGTGGTTCGTTTCATCTTGCCGAAGGAAGAAAATATAAGTCAGGACGGTGATCAACGAATTGATTATTATGAATTCTGAGATAGAAAGGCTCTATACAGACGGAATTATGGCTAGATTCATGAATGAATCATTATTTGGTGGAACTATTAATTCAAAATTTAACATGATTTAGCCAATTATTTAGATTAATTTGTCAGATTATCCAATTACTTCCCTATCCAATTCTATTAAAGGCATTTGGCGACCTCTGCATTGAGGAGCGAATCTAGCCTGGCATACAAAGAATCAGAAACATTATTTCTTCGTATCCTTTTCACCCTTGCTAGGATATACTAATGAATTATTATCATTATGCATCTTCCAAGGGCAAGGCCGCACCTAAGCCTAGACCTTCATGCGTGATTGCACTAGCAGCCAAAACAACAGACAACATTTGCAAATTAGGATAAAGACAATGAATTAATCGATACCCAAAACAGGTATAAGAGAACCAAATGAAATGGATTCAATTTAAATAATATATTACCACAATTTATGATTGTAATCTATTTTTTTGTATTTATATTATATACCTTTAATATACAATATATTATGTATTTAGCAGATTAAACAATAATATTTTAGAGATATATGTTCCTTCAATAACAAATCATATGGCTTTGAAATATCTATCAATTTCCAATATTATTAATTTCCATGGTGGGATTCTTACTCATCCCCTATGTCCCTATAAAATGAGGATGATTGCATTATACCACTAAATGAGGATGAAGAAAGGAAGAAAAAGGACCCTAAGGTTAATATCGCAAAAGATATTTTTAGGTCCTTTATCAGATGGACAATCAGATGAAGAATTCCTTTTTGATATCTGTCGATTATAATCTAAGCATTGCAATTTCTTGGATATAAATTTTCTGGATCCAAGAAATCTATTTGGAATTATTGGATTCTGTGGTCAAAAACCAAAAATCAAGCATGAAAGGTCAACATTCCTATTCGCAAGA